AAATCAACAGCTATTGCATGCAAAACTAGGGTTCAGTTTGTATCTCATGAAAAGCATTCCTTGGGTTTATTAAGGACTTTTCTGCACAAAAGAGAAATCTTTGTTTTTTCCACTTTTGAATTGTGTCATCGAGTTAGCCAAAATGGGTGTAATCTAAGAAAGTCTTTTTCACGGGTCTTTGGGCATGCTTTACAGATGAGATAGTAAAAGCAGTTTAAAAATTTTTAAATTCTGTTGCTGAAATGCAGCTTTCTCAAACTTTGGCTTGCCTGTACAGTGCCATGTACGTGTGTTGCTTTCCTTTTGCATTCCATTTTTATGTTTTTCTTGTTTTGTAACATCTGTTCATATTTCGGTAACTTTTAATAATTCCATTACATATTGTATATATTATGAAGGAAGGAAGGAAATTTGTGCCCATTGATACAAATTATTTCGGAGCATCTAGAGCACTCCTAATGAAACCTGTGAGCAAAAATTTTAAATAGGAAGCTTGGATGTTTTATGGATAACATTCCTGTGTGTTTTATGTATCATCTCACCTAGACCAGTGAACTTTTTTTTTTTTTAAGTCTTTTTTTTTTTTTAACTTTAACGTGGAGTATGTTTAATAAAAGTAAAAATTTTTGGAGTCCTCACTGATTATGGCAAAGGTATGATGCCTAGGAAATAGATGCCCCGTTTAGTTCTTTTAAAGTGATTGCACCAGAATCATTACATTTCGGTATTTGGAAGCTCCTATACAAAATATTTAAGAATTTCATTAAAAAAAAAAAAAAAAGTCGGATCCAGCATGCTAAGAACTGATACTGTTTTGAACTTTTGCTTCATGACACACCGCAGTACTTTTGGTTCACTCAGTATTTGGCGTTTATCAAGCACCTCCTGTGTGTCAGGCACTGTGCTGGGCACGGGCGGGGCAGAATCCCTTTTCTTCCAGAAGGACTTACTCAACTCCCTTCTCTCCTCATACACTCGCATCCACTCACCAGGAAATCCTGTTGGCTCTGCCTTCGAAATAATGTAATCCGACGATAGTGCATTGTTTCCGCTGTTACTGCCCTCACCCAGGCCACTCTCTTGGCCAGACCCATGCAGTAACCTCTGACCAGATCTCTCTGCTCTGTCCTTGTCCTCCTAGAGTTGATTTTCATAACATAAGCCAAAGTAATCGTTTTCAAACATAACGGCGGGATCGCGGGTGTTGAGATTAGTGAAGGGAGCTGAGAGAGTGGGGAGATCGGCAATTTCAAATACTGTCGTCAACACTTGAACAAACTTTTGAAGTTGGGAAGGAAGAGAGCCAGGCTGCTACCTGGGGCACAGCTTCCCAGGCGGAGGGAGCAGTAAGCACAGAGGCCCTGGCGAGGATGGCAAGGGCCTGGGGAAGCAGAAAGGAAGCCGGTGCCTTGGGGATGGAGTGAGCGGGGGCAGAGTGAGAGAGCCGGAGTCAGAAAGATAAAGCGGGGATAATCTGGGTAGTGCCTTGTGGGGAATATATCGGAGGTCTATCCAGCTGAAGATGGGGAGACACTCATTTCACTTAACAAACACTTCTTACGTGCCTCCTAGGTGTCTGGCACTATGCTAGTTGCTGAGGATACACTGATAAGAAAAAGAGACATAGTCCCTGCCCTCCTCATGGAGCATAAGTCTAGTGGGAAGTGGACATTCATCAGATAATCACACAAGTTAGTGTCTAGTTTGCAAGTGTCACAGTACAGGCTCCTTCCAGAGGAATCGCTAGGGGCTCTGACCTAGTCTCAGGGGGCTTCAGCGAAGGTTTTCCTGGGCTGAGATCAGACGGATGAGTTGCTGAGTAGGTAGAGAGGAGTGGGATTTTCCTGGGTGAAAGGAAGCCAAGCGCAGAGGCCCCGCGGCGGCAAACGACCAGGCAGAGGCCGGTGGGGCTGAAACGTGGATGATGGGTGAAGATGCAGGACCAGGCTGGAGAGGACAGCAGGGCCATAGTGCGAACCTTTGGGGTCACCGTGAGGATTTGGGTTTTTACCCTAAGAATAATGAAAACATCTTGAATTTTAACCAGAAAGTGAAACAGATCAGGATTGCACGTGTTTTGGCAAAATTCCCATCGTGACGGGGTTGGAGGTGGGAAGGAGAGCAGGGCGGGGACACTGTGGAAGCCACTGCAGTGGCCTAAGTGAAGGATGGTGATAGCCTGGAGTATGGAGAAAAGAGGGTGATAAACTCTGCACTACCTGGTAATGGGGAGAGAGTCTCAAAACTAGAAAGACGGGCGGGGACACTGTGGAAGCCACTGCAGTGGCCTAGGCGAAGGATGGTGATAGCCTGGAGTATGGACGAGGGTGAGAGGTAACTCGGAGGTAAACTCTGCACTACCTGCTAATGGGGAGAGAGTCTCAAAACTAGAAAGAGGAACCAGACGTTCGAAGCCTCACGATGTGACGCAGTGAGCAGCACAGGGGCCACTTACAAAGTTTTCTTGCCTCAAAAATTGTAATGGATTTAATCAAGTCTTTAGGCCAAACTGCCATGTTACGGGAAGCACACAGGATAGACGAATAGGATAAATGGCACTACAAGGAAGGAATCGGCCAAATCGGAACGTGGGACATCCGATGGAACAAATAACATGACGTTGCCAGTAAACCAATGGCATGAAACATAATTTTTTAAAAGGCTTAAGAAACAGAACAAGGCAATGTTATCTGTTTTATGCAATTTGTAGACCTCGTTTGGATCCTGATTCAAACAAACTAAAAGATGTCTTTGAGAGAAAGAGAGAAATTTGAGTACGTATTGGGCTTTAGATAATATTAAGGAATCGTTCATTCTGTTAGGTGTACTAATGGTATGGTGGTTTTAAGTGTGTGTGTGTGTGTGTGTGTGTGTGTGTGGACATATACATACGTATTTAAATGCACGTTAGAAATGCATTCTAAGATTTTGAAATGAAATGATATCTTGAATTTTCTTAAAACACACCAGAAAAGAGTGGCATGTGATAAAATGGCAAAATGTTGCTAATTATTGAAGCTAGGTCCAGGATACTTTGAAGTTTATTATACTATTCTCTCTATCCTGGGGCATATTTGAAATTTTTAATAATAAAAAGTTAACAAACGAAACTTCGTGGGAAGAAGAGTTCACATGGAAATAGGGAACACAAGAAGAGAGCCAGGTCTGACGGGGAAATGAGGAGCTCAGTTTGGACATGCTGGGTTCGACGTGCCTTTGGGACTCCTGAATGGGGAGGGGTCCTCTAGGCAGGTGGAATCCTGAAGACCTCTCCAGAGTTATACAAGTGAGTGTAGATGGCGACTGGAGCGGTGGGCACGGAGAAACTATCCGAGGAAGCAATAAAGAGTGATAAGAGAGGGCCCAGGACTAGACTTGGAAGAACCGGAAGATGTTAATGGCCAGGGAGAAGGGGCTGAGCTGGGTGACTGAGGAGGAGTGGCCGGAAGATGGAGGGGTCACGAATGCCCAGGGAAGCAAATGTTTCCCAAAGGAGCCAGGGCGAACAGCCGAATGCCGCCAAGGGGTCAAGCGAGATGAGAACCAAAACGAGCCCATTGGGTCGGTGTCCCGGATGGAGGCTGCTGCCTGGCTGAGAGCCGTTTAGACCACGGAACGGGAATGAAGTCGGGGGTGAATGGGAGGGGCGGAAAAGGAGACAGAGTAGACGGCTCTTCGAAGAAGCAGGTCTGTGAAGTGGAAGTCAGAGGGCGATGGCTCGAGGAGTGAGGAAATAAGAGCGTGTTTTTTTGTTTGTTTTTAAGGTGAACCATTCTTGAACGCATTCACACGATGAGAGGAGTGATCCAGGAGAGATGAAAGGGTGGAACAGGCAGGAAAAGGGGCATGTGAGGCTCCCGAGAAGGCAGGAGGGGATGAAATAGGGGCTGGGCCCTATTCCAGGCAGGAAGGGAGCGGAATGCCAATGAAGCTCTTGCTTTTCCATCATCTTCCCTGAGAAGTAGGAGGTGACGCCACCTGCTGGTGGACGGGGGGGTGGGGTGGGGGGAACTGGAGGTATGAGGGTCATGGAGAAGGATGGGATTCATCATGGAGAAGAGAAGAATGAGTGAGCGGAGGAGCAGGGTGAGATTGCCCAGAGAGGCAGAAGTTCATGACGATGGTCTGACGGGAGAATCAGCGGGAGCCTGAACCGGGGCAGGGTAGGCCGTGTTGGTGGCAGGCAAGGATGGTGTGAGTGTCAACATGGGGAGAAGTCCCTGTGGTGGGCCAGACCGAGGAGGACTTTGTGGAGGACACTGGACCTAAGGCTGAGCAGGACACCCCGGAAAGGGTGTTCAGTGTCTTCTCAGCTCCAAATTCCCATCTCATATTGTAACCTACTGCCACCCCCTGACCTTTCACCCCTCTAACCCCTTCCGACCGCCTGCCCCCAAAGAGTCCTTGACTCTCCAAATCTGATATGGTTTCAAGTTCCACATCGGGGTTGTTCGCCAGCTTAAACATACACGGTTGCTTTCCAGTTCCTGCCGAGCAGCAAGCAGCTGGGTAAACCGAGGCCCGGGCCGGGCGGGCAGGCACAGTGGTACACCGTCACAGGTCCTGTCCCGCTGGGGGTTTCAGACAAGACTGGGCAGCATGAAGAGAAGAGGCCAATTACCAACCGGCGCGCTCAGGCCCGCTGCCCACTGTCCTCACCCCTCACACCAGGCTCTCCGGAAAACACGAAGGATGGTGTTTTGCTGGCAGGAAGCGTTCTGGATGCCGCCGAGCCGTGCAGCGGGCTTTTCTCCACACTTGCGCATGCTGTGTCTTCCTGTCAGCCAGCGCTGGCACCGGAGCACATTCTATTAGTGCCCTTCTCAGACCCAGCAGCTCCCCACAGGGCTTGGGCTGCCAGCCCTGTCTCTGAAGTTGCTCTATGAGTGGCACCTATTGGTTGTAGCCAAAACACCATTAGGGGAAATAAAATCCTGTAGGGCCGATGGGAAGGACCGGGCAACGCGGGAGGCGCTTAAATGCATCATTTCTCTTTCCAGCTTAACTCAGGTGATCCGGAAGTTTGCCAAGCAGCTGGATGAGTGGCTAAAAGTGGCTCTCCACGACCTCCCAGAAAATTTGCGGAACATCAAGTTTGAACGTAAGTACTGAGCTTGAGGGCAGAGTGCCAAACAGCTCACGTAGGTTGTTAATAAAATAATAATAACAGCTACCATTTACTGTTTGTTACTATAAAGCACCAAGTATTATGCTTAGGGCTTTCTATACATTAACTTATTTAATCCTCACAAAATGTTTATTGCTAAGCGGCATACCTCCTTCTATAGAAAAGAAACAGGCTTAGAGACGTAGTTAAGTAGCAGAGGTGGGACTTGCTTTGAGGTCTGTCTGTCAACCCCAAAGTTTCTGCTCATCACCGCCATACTCCTCACCTCATGTAATCCTCACGTCATCTCAGTAATGTCGGAAACAGTCTCCCTCATCTACAGATGAGGCTCCACGAGGCAGAGAAACATTCCCAAAGCCACCACACGGCCGGTAACTACGAGCCAGGCGTCAAACTCCAGTCTGTCTGACCCCCGAAGCTTGTGCCCACAAAATGGTGGGAGCAGGAGGCAGGAAACAGCTGCGGGGCTGTTTTCACACATTCGATTCCCCGCCTAACAAGAAAGCCAAGTTAGTATTTCTCATAAGGGGCCTGGGACTGTGAATCTTTTCTCTGCCGAGCGTCACCTTCCGTTCCCCAGCGTTAGTTCTGCCTGAGAAAACCGGTCCTCTCTCCCTGTGTCCATGTGTCCATACTTGTGGGAAGACTCACGTGCTGTTAAACGAAGTTGAAATGATTTTGAGCAAAACAAAGTTTTAAGATATATGTTTCTTAAAGCCCCATTTGAATACGGCTTGCCATTCTTGCCCCAAATCAGTGCCCGCGAGGAAAACGAAGGAGATCAAATTACCCTCTCTCCACAGGCAAAGGGAGCCCATTCAGCGGCTCTGAGGCCGCCTGCAGTGCCCATCACCTGTTGATAAAGCCCGCTTTATTTCACGGTTCTCAGTTCTTTTCTTTTCACAAGCACTAAATTCCACATCACAAAGTTAAAGAAAAAGTAATTAAGGAGATGGATTAACGATTGATTGGCCTGGAAAATTAGAAGTTCATCTGTTCGCCCACCCCAATCCTCCACCCCACGCCCGATTTTTCAAACCAGGCCGGCTCTGAGGACAGGTTACAATAATCCAAGGGACATTTCTGACTTTCTTCATCAGTTGAGAAATTAATGAGAGGAATGCCTGCACCCATTTTAATTATGCTGACAAAGCAAACCTGTTGAAAGTTAGCAGCATGGAGCTTTTTCTTGGGCCGTACACCTGTGAGTCCCTGGAGACACCTACTCTTCCCAGGGAGCCTTGGGGTGCACCTCGGGAATGTGGAAACACACTACTTCAAATGACTCTGTAAGAACGAAGACCTTAGGCAGACACCTGACTTGTCTGCTTAGAAATCCACAGATAAAAGGTCACCCCACTTCGAATCACATCCGCTAAGAAACAGGATCATCAAAACACGCAGAGACGTCTTGGAGCTCATTTGATAAAACTGACAGATGATGAACGCAGAGCCACGTTCAAGGTGCAGCCCTGGGTCCCATCTGAGGAACAACCCCCAGCACCATACAGCACTGAGGCTCCATCAGGGTTTCCTATTAGACAGATTACTTTTTAAAGGGCCTTCTTCAAAGCTTGCACTTGATTCCTGCAGTTAGTTATGGGGAGAAGTGATTGAGCTTGCAATTAGTGAAGTGAAAGACAACTAAATAATTGCTTTTTATTCACGGTTGATTGACACTACAATTTCTCACATCTGCCAGTGTGGCGTGGGGGTGACTTTGAAATATGCACCCTAAATATCAGCGTTTTAGGAAACAGTTGTCCAAATGGGAGAACAAAGAGTCAAATGCAGGGTTTTGCCAGTGGGCACCTAATATGTGGTCAGATAGTGAGACAAAGTTAGGCAAATAAGAAAGCTACTTTATAAGAAAGCTACTCTTAAAAATCTGCCCCCAGATAATCCAACATAGGACCATAAAGCCTGTAAACATTTCAAACTCTTTTCTTCTTGCAGTGTCAAGAAGGTTTTCCCAAATTCTGAGACGGCAAACATCACTAAATCATCTTTGCCAGGTATGTGTCCTGTGTTATGTGTTCTAACTACTGCTAAGTCATCACAAAGGAGGACAAACTCACAGAACAGCTCCCTAGAGGATCTGTCGAGGAGCGGCCGTGTAACTTTAATTTCTACAGATAGGGAATAAAAATGTTAGCAAACCACTAAATAGTTTCAACGTACATACGAAATAATTTCTGGTGTCACTTGCCCCTTAACCTTTCAGATACGTCCTAGATCCACGAGTTTGTGTCTTCCTTAAGTAAATAAGGGTTTCTCTGCCACATTTTGGGCTTGGATAATCCTTCGTCGTGGGGAGTTGTTCTGTGCATTGTAGATGTTTAGCAGCATCCCTGGCCTCTACCCACTAGATGCCAGTAGTGCCACCCCCAAGTACCACCTGCATTGTGACAATCAGGAATGTCTACAGACACTGCTGGACGTAGCCTGGGGGCACAGTATCAGCCCAGGTAGCAACACTGTGGTCAGTGATTCAAACAGGTAAAGGGGATGAGCTGTTTGTTGTACTTCTTGTCATCACAAAAGCATTCGCAGCCCTGAAGTATATTAAATATTTATCCAATTTTGTTTTTCCAGATTTCTGTTCTATTTACCACAAAACGACATGCTTAATATAAAAAATTCAAACATGACAAAAATGTATACAGTAAAAAGTAGATCTCACTATCACTCCAAAGTTAAAACTTGATGGCATTAAGCTTTGCATTTCTATTAGTTTTGTATCTTAAGGAAGGGACTCTATAAAATATTAATGATCTTAAAGCAGAAGGGGCAAACTGGTGGCTACAGGTCAAATCTGGCCCTCAGATCTCCGGTGTGGGGTTATTTTTGCTGGCTTTGCATGTGTTCAGTTTTTGTTTTTTGTTTTTAACTTAATCACTAACAAACGAAACTGGGAGATGACAGCTAAACACCCAGATTTTCTGCAGATAAAATTTTAAGAGCTGGAAACCCTAGAGCTATTTTCCACCAGGCTAGGAATCACCTGGATGGGCCAAGCCTTTCTCTTCCGTCTAGCACTGTCCTCATCACCCCTATTTTCTCTTAACACTCGGCCCGCCTCACTCATGGGGATCCCTGGCTTGGAAGAGCTGGTCTCGAGTCATCTCAGGGAACTGGACGTGGTCTTGGTGCCTCCCGCTGGGGCTCAGTTTAGAAAAGCCTCTGACCCTTTAATGCACATGTGGGTCAAAGCATCCACACACATGGCTGTAAGCACCTGCACACGCGTGCATGCACACGCACACACACACACACACACACACACACACACACACACACACATTCCGCTCTCACACAGACAGGATGTAATTTAACCAGCGAACGCTACCTTTCCGTCTTCACTGGGCAGCTATCAGACACATCCCTGGATTAGCCAGAGGACCAGGGTTAGTGCTGGGAATGAAACACCACGGACTCTCTTAGCTAGCATCCCAGTGAGCTTTCCTAAACACACACGAGGCAAGTCAGACTAAACGGTACCCAGCCAAAATCTCACCCCAAATACTTAAACCCAAGATCTAAATATCCGGGCCCTTCCAGATACACTAAGCACGCAACTTGGCCTCACATCTCCGCCATTCATTCCACAAAGACTTTTGGGTGCCTACTGTGTGCCGGACACTGCGTAAGCTTAGTGGTTATTTGCTCTCCTCAGAAAAAAAATAAATAAATGAACCAAAAATTATTTAAAATGGTAAGTGTCATAAAGGAAACAGAACGGAAATAGAGGACAATGGGGCATGTAGGTCCTATTTAGGTAAAGTGGTTAGAGATGGCCTCACCATGGGAGTGACATTTAAATCGGAGCACATGTGACAGAAGGGTCGGCGTGGCAGGGGCAGGGGAAGAGAAGAATGTTCCAGCCGGCAGGGACGCTGTGTGCAAAGGTCCTGAGGTGTCACACAATCGCTACAGAGAGAACAACCTGAATAACAGAAGCCTCCTTTATGGAGCTCTTACTCCCCGAACTATGCACTTTTTAAACATTATCTCAAGAAAGGCTCGACAGCACCCCTCCGTAAGAGGCGGGTACTGGTACCTCTCCATTTTATAGCTCAGGAAACAGGTTAATCTTCTCGCCCGCCCCAGTCAATCAGCTGGTCAGCAGCAAGGCCAGGATTTGAACGAGATATATTTGAATCAGAATCCTAGACCTCTGCACTCAGTTGTTCTCGTTATCTTCAGAGACTGACCCAGCTCACATGTTCATATGTTGTAGGCCTCTCTGGTCTTCAGAGAGTTCTACAGTGATTTAAATAAGATTTTACTTGTGCGTTGACAGTCTGGGTGTAAAAGGTATTGTCAGTATTTACCCTTGCCTGGAACTTCACAAGCACTAGGAGACATTTAATGTCCATGTGTATTTGAAGTCTTTTTTTTTTTTTTTTCCCATTTTATTAGAGACTTTTGAGGAAGCCACGGCTCGTGCGCGTGCTCGCTCGCTCTTTCTCTCTTTCTCTCTTTCTCTCTCTCTCTCACACACACATACACATCAATAAACTACCAAGTCTTAAGATGTAGTTTCCCTTTTTCTCCATCTCAATTATGTATATGTGTTTTAATCATTATAGTTACATAAAAAACAAAAAGCAAAAACAGAAGGCTAGACTGTAAACTGCTCCAGAATACATTCATATGAAAAATAAACACTGTACAGTCCTGGGCCTAAAGCTGTCATAGGCCCAGGGGTGGCAGGACCATTCCTAGATCTGGGCCTGTCGCTTCTCAGGCACGGGAGACACACAGGTCATTAAGCGCGGAGCTCCCATCCCGCAGGCTTACATCAGAAGGCCGACAGATCTCGGGCTTCATTCCATTGTTCCACCGGGTAAAGACCAAAGGGGCTGGGAATAGTAGGGCTTGGTCTGGCTTTTAGGCCACCTGGAGGTAGTTCTTCTTAGAGAGAGAGGGAGATGTGAGCGAGCCACAAGAGAGAACAGATCTTCTGAGTTTATAGACTCACCTACTTATTTCCTGAAATTGAGTTTTCCTGAATTGCGAAGTAGTTTGCAAAGTACCACTGGCGGATTCATTAAACAGGCTTAACTAAAAACAAAAAAAAGTGAAGGGGTTTGAACCTAACAACCCAGGAGCTAACGAGTGGATTGGATTGGATTACAGGCATCTCGAACAGTGATCCACAGTGCAGACATCACTTTCCAGATGCTGGAGGACTGGAGGAACGTGGACCTCAACAGCATCACCAAGCAAACCCTTTATACCATGGAGGACTCTCGCGATGAGCACCGGAAACTCATCATCCAGTGTAAGCTGTTCCACCACGGTTGTGTGTTTTTTTCTTTCTTTTAAACAGAAAGAAAGGAAAAGTATCTTGGGAAATATTTAAGTGGCATTCCCACCCTGTCCTCCCCGCTTTTATTATTTCTGTTGAATGGGTTGGCCCAGATGAGGGGGCTAATTGATTTAAGAGGACACGTGTCAACCCTGCAGGAGAAAATGGGTCCCGGTGCAACCGGGCAGCACACAGTGTCGTGCAAAAAGCTTCACGTGTGGCCTTCAGTGCCAGGCATATTTCTATAGGTGGCATAAAAAAAAAAATGAGAATAAAAATTTGCTGTCTCGGTGTACATCAGCTGGATAGGCTGCCTGTTTTTTAGTGCGGGCCACATGAGTCAACGCGCCTAACGGCAGGTGAACTTTTTGATGACATCAACGTTTGAGCAGGGGACTGATGGGGATATACTTCTGTGAACATCTCTCTGTATCCCTGTGGACAACGACTGCAGGAATACTGCTCTATTACCCCGGTGTGGTCCGAGTGTTCTTGGGAGTGGAGGACAGGAGAGGGCCAGAGACCATCACGAGCACACCTCTGCTCTTTCTCAAACGCCCATCACAGCCTGCTGTCCAGGGCAGCCCGCAGCCCGGGGGGACTCTGGACCAGGGGTTTACTGGCTCCTTCCTTCCTGAGCTCAGCCGTCCTTTGTCATGCCGTTGGAGGAAAGGGAACATGAGAGCGGGAAGGGTGTCCGCACGCCCCCCGTCAGCTCTCGGAAAGGCTGGTGCTGAGCGGATCCAGAGGTGGGAGGCTATGGCAGCTGCTGCACCCTTACCGTCTGAATGGGTGCTGGCAGGGACATTGTTCGGGAAGCTGCAGAGTGGCTGTCCCCCTGAGAAGGAGGCGGGGGGGTCTCTTCTTCTGAGAGCCTCCGGCCCCTCAGGTTTCCAGTATATGACTTCTAGCTGTTGTCTTGAGGGAAAACTTTCTTCAGCCTGTCTAAGCACATGGTGCTTATAAACGAGTAACATTCCCTAAGATGGCCCTGTTAGAGACCTCTTTTCCCAAGCAAAGGGAGCAGCTGAAATGTTGGACCATGCGGGCCTTCCCTGGGGCTTCTTTCCTCCTCAACCCCAGGGTTCCTGTGAGGCTCCTATCTCTTCCTCTGTGCAGCCCCCAGCCTGCTTTCCCGTGAAGGATTTCATAGATCATCACTAAAATAATATTTCAGCTTACAGACCTGCCTAGTCTATGTCGGGTCCTGTGTCAAACTCACCGCACGCATGATCTCATTTAATCACCACCTCAGCTCCCATGAGCAAGATTCTTTAGCCTCAGAGAGTTGGTGAACCTTACCCCAAGTCTCGTCTCAGCATCACCACCGTGCACTAGTGCTGTCACTTTGTGGGGGAGCAGAGGAGACAAAAATAACAAGACGTGGGCACATTTCAGAGGTTCTGGGATCCTCCAAGTTCTTACCGCCATGTTTCCTGTTTTCCCTACTCCCGGCTAGACGGCCAATAGAAAGCATGGCTGCGAGTACCCTAACGGCACTAGCTGGACCTCTGATGCCTGTGTCCCCAGAGCCTCACATCAGGCCGGGCATGGAGGAGGTGACAGTAATGTCTATGCCAGAGAGAACGGATGAACGGAAACCGAGAACACCCAGCTTCCTAGTTCTGCTAACTGTTCCGAGCAGCATCACACTAAGCTCTCTTCTGCCCTCGGCTCCTTTGCGTGGGGAAGGAAAATGTGACCCCGACTCATAGGAAAAAAAATACAATCACCGTTGCTTGCTTCAGGGACCAGGCTCTGAGCCTTTGCTGGGGCACCGTGGAGGTCACCGATGCCTCCAGACTAGATGTTGGCCTCATGACACTCACAGTCTAGGGGCTGTCGTAAGGCGGAGCGAGGCTGTCCATGTAAAGCACTGAGAAGAGTTCCTGGCACGCAGCAGGCACCGGAGAAATGTTAGCGGTCAGCACCTTCATTGCCACCGCCGCCGTCATTCTCACTGACCGAATCACAGCAGCTGAGACACAGTGTGACGAAGAGTGAAGGAACAAGAAATTCAGAGGCCTGCGTTCCGGTCCCTGCTCTGTCACTAGCTCACCCCCTGACTCCGAGTGGGTCATTTCATCTCTTTAAGACATAGCTTCCTCGTCTGTAAAATGGGGCAGATCAACTTCATGGGCGTCGAAAGCCCTTTCTCAGTCCAACGCGCTGTGAGCTTCTGGACCCTGGAGCTGACCTCTTGTAGCAGCCAACCACTAAGTAAAATAGGGCGAATTGGCCAGTTCAGTGAAATGGGAGGACAAAAACCGCTCAAATGAAAATATAGAAATGTGCGGGTCTGGAATTGTGGTTTGGCTTATTGAGCTCCACGTACGAAAACTCAAAAAAATGTCATGGAAAGAGATGTTTCAAACTGGAGGTCACCACAGCCATGTTCCCGTTTTCCACAGAGCTCCGCCGATCACAAAGTACTTTCCCGATTCAGTTACCCGACTCGCGACTAAAGACAGGTCGTAAGGTGGTACGATTATCCCCCCCTTTCACTAATGCGGAAACTGAGGGCGCAGGGGTTGTTTCCTTGATTCCACAAATATTTATTAAACATCTCCATCTCCTGCACGCTGAGCAGTGAGAGTCTAGTTAGGCTACCTGCCTGATAGAGCTGTGGTTCAGAAACGTTTGAATGATGAAGTGTGCCCACTCGCAGGGCAGAGCGCAGGAGGGCAACGATGCCTCTGGCCATCCATGCAAGCTCACACGCACTGAACCACAGCTACGGCACGGGGAACGCGCCAGCTAAGACAGATATCAGACAGGGGACACACACACACACACACACACACACGCACACACACACACACACGCACACACCCACCCTAACTATATCACAGTGTTATGAGTGATATAATGGAGAATACGGAAAATAAACTGCTATGAAATGACAGAGGAGCGAGCAGTTCCACTGGCAGAAGGCACAGGAAGAGTCAGAAAGGATCTCGCACGAGGGTCATTCCAGCTGGGCCACGAAAATCCAAACAGTCCAAGCAGAGGGACCTGCCTGAGGAAAGCAGGACTCGGGGGGCATGGCAAGGAACGTGGGCTGGCCAGGGTTTCAAGTGTTCACAGACGTGGAGGACAATCCTGGAAAGGTAATTCGGGGTACATTTTCTAAATTCTTGAATGCCCTGCTCAGACTTTGGAGATCCGTTTTCTTCAGTTTTTCTCCTTTGTTCTCTTAAGATGCACCTCTGTCTAAACACAAGTGCAGTGATGCGTGGGTTGTCCTTTGTTTGGCAGTGTATCAGGAGTTTGACCACCTCCTGGAGGAGCAGTCTCCCATCGAGTCCTACATCGAGTGGCTGGACACCATGGTGGACCGCTGTGTTGTGAAGGTTGGTGAGCTGGGGTAGGAGGGCAGCCCTGGGTACGGCAGCCCATCACTGACCTCTGCGACACCTGTACAGTTCAGAGGCTCATGGTGAGCTACCTGAGTATTCCTCAGCAGCCACGCAGCCCTAGGGTTCTGCGGCGTGGCCTGGGCCGCCTCAGGAGGGGGCGGGTTGCAGGAGGCAGCGTCTCTTTTACCTGTGAAGTAAGTACCTAAGGGCCTTGACAAAAGATTTCATTTTTTAAAGTGTACTTCTGCTGCTAAAAAACAAAAAGTTGAGAACCACCGCTCCATACTGCGAACTTGGAGTCCTTCCATAAGCCTTCCTGTCGTTTCTCAAAGGCAGGAATAAATGAAAGGTCAAGTCAACCCCTGTTAAAGTTGTTCGCTTTCTTGTAGGTGGCAGCGAAGAGACAAGGGTCCCTGAAGAAAGTGGCCCAGCAGTTCCTCCTGATGTGGTCCTGTTTCGGCACGAGGGTGATCCGGGACATGACCTTGCACAGTGCCCCCAGCTTTGGTAAGGCCACGCCAGGCCCTCCCCACACCCACCCAAACACGTTATCTTTGGGCTCTGTGTGTTGGGGTCACTTCTCGGAGTTGGCGACGGTCTTACATGCTGTCTCTGAGACCACAGGGATGTCACCCTGAAATGTATGTGTTCTCGGGGTGAGGCGGGACGCAGTACTGTTAGGACTTTCGGGGAGAGAGACGGCATTGCGTGCTCAAGGCGTGCAGTGTACAAATCTGAAAATGAGAAGTTAGCACACAGTATTTGCGTTCAGACAGGAATAAATAGCAGTGGTTGTGCTCCGCTTTTGCCCGATGTCCCCAGAGATCTTCCTTCTACAGAACCATTTTGCAGGATTTCATCGTGTGCACCTCCCAAGACTGGGCACTTGAAGAAGCCTCTGAGTTCAAACATTTGCAGATGGCTTGATTGGCATTCCAGCGATGGGCAGAGCTTTTTCAAGTTTTCTTCGAAAACGTGCCCCGGTCTAATCCCTAGAAGATTTTCGCGTTCATTTTCCTTTTGTTTTACTGACGCCTTGGGTTTCCTTCACGTTCCTCAAGTCCTCATCTGCTGTTTTCCAGTGTACTGGGACTTGAAATCTCTGCCCAGAGGTGCTTATAACAATCTCCTAACCACCCACTTGGGGTGATCGCTATGGACACAGTTTTGCTTCCGTCGGAAAGAATGGAGTGTGCATTGAGTCCAGGTCACCATTAGCAACGTGAGGTGGGACTTTAAGGCATTATCCAGGCATCTGAAAACTCAAAACACTTGGGCCTCAAGTTTCTAGGCATTTCGGTAAAGGGCTGTTGGTAAATTTTCTGGGTAATTGCTTTAGTTCTCTATTTTACTTTGCGAGGAGAGATGTGGTTTCGTTTCTCATTATCTCCAATTAAGTCAATCAGCTCTGGGTTTTGCTCTGGGTTTAATTTGACACTTTTCCATCTAGCTTTTTACGGTCTTGTCACTGTTTTCCAGTTGTGCTATACAAGCCAGTGAATATGTGGTGGGACACAGAAGGCACTATTTTTTTTCTAAACGGCTCTGTCCATGAAAGACTGTGTTTACCCAGTCGGAGAAGCGTTTTGTTGTGGACTTCTTTCATCTCAGCACTGGGAAGTTCTCCGAACCTGCCCGCACCGTGAGCTGTACATGGCGACGTGCTGGTGACTGCTACCTGGGCAGCGCCATCGGGCATGGCATTTTGATGACTTGCAGCTCAGCATAGTTTACTGTTAGCACATGTTACCTCTGGCTCTGGGAAAATCATTCATGCGTAACTGCTTTCAGTTAAGCAGATGGTTGAAAAATATTTGAGATTTTTCTCGGTTTCAGAATCAAAGGATCGACAACATCCCTCACATAGACACACGCCCACACAGCAAACATCTTTTGCTTGCTTTATCCCTTATTCTTCAATTTGCTGATTCGTAAACTGACGTCAGGTATGTTATTAGGTACCCTTCATTAGACAGAGAAAGTAACTCCGCAATATTCTCGGAAATGCATTTGTTTTTACTAAGTTAACAGTCCATGCGATAAAGGCTGTTTGGACAGAACAATTAGGATTCGATGAATGGGTTGAATTTATTACTGAGAAATACTGTGTCTTAAAATGTGTTTACTTCTTCCGAACCACACGCAGTTTTAGAACTGTGGCACAAATGGTCGCAGGTCTTTTGGAAAAGGAAGAGATATTAACCGAATTTCACTTTGACAGTATTTTTCGGCCTTAAACGTGTTGAAATAATACCTGTTTCCAAGTCTACTTAGCAAACTGTCTGAAATGGTCTTGCTCATCTGACTCATTGTTGAGTTCTGCAGCTTGGGGTGACAGGCAAGTTGAAAGAATTTGCGGCGGACAAAAGCCCAGCTCCCCCTTTCTGCCTGTATGTGTCAAAGACACAGTTGGTGGTTGTGTTTGGGTCATGTGTTCCCTGGATAAAAACAGCTAATTAGGAAAAAGCCCTCTGTTCGCTGGCCCCCTCCCCCAGCCACAGGGGCCGGCTCTATATATCTCATAACTCCCACACGATCCTTGTCGCTCTGAATGGCGCGGGGTTTGCGTGTCAGCTTAGCGGGCTGCCCGTTACAATGACTGTGTGGAATATGACAATGATCCCATGGGGGACTCTATCACCTCTTCCCAGAACAGCCTCTTTCAAAGGCAGTTGACTCCTTTCTTCTCTTTAATTCCTTTTCACTCTTTTCTCCCTAATTCCTTTTCACTGAAAGAGCCTATGCTGTGAACTAAAGTAGCCAGACTTTCTGTCTTTGCTGTAAGCAGCAGTTTCTAGTAAAATTAGTCAGCAAAGGTAGGCTAGCAGACAATGAACTTTTAGTCCCAGTAAAGCTGAGGAAATTAGTTTTCATTAAAAAACAAACAAACAAACAAACAAACCCTATTTTCAGGTAACTGCTCTGATTTCGGTTCAAAGGATACCTGGATCCCAAGTCAGCACAGGTGCCTTTGCCTTTTCACTCGGGGTTTTCACCAGTCGCCCCTTATTTCACTGTTGGGAACATCTGGAAGGCGACAATCGTTCTCAGAAATACTCTGGCATAAAACAGTTTGAAGAACAGCCCTGGGTTTGACAGCTAAGGGCGCAGGACTGCGTATTCATGCCCCGAGTTTTCACTTTTTCACACTCTTGTTTTCTGGCCTAGCACCAAATCAAAGTTCACTCACTTGGGCACAGCCGGGGAGGCCACGCGGGAGTGGTTCTATAAGCAGCTGCCAGACCCGGTGGCCATGACCGAGCCTTCCAGACTGCTTCTCTATGCTTAGACGTACGTCCTGGCCTAGCTCTCTTACCCAGAACCTGCTAAGTTGCACGATCTTGACATTAGAAGTGTCACTCAGGCCCCCGCCGGACACTAGGAAGCAGGAAAGGAAGCAGAGACCCGGAGAGGAGAGGGGACTTGCCCGTGGACACACAGCAAACTGAGCTGAGCTCCTCCTGGAATCCTATTCATGCCAGAGCTCGTGTTCTTTCTGCTCTGTCACACTGCCAACGCCGCTGCTAACTTTCTCCAGTTGAATACTACTAATAAAAAAGTTACATTTAGTGAGGGCCTAGTATATACTAGACATAATATTAGGCACTTTCTGATTTAATTCTCACATCCACCTGCGAGATCCCCTATTCCTGCCTTTAATATAATAGATGAGGAAGCCAAAGTAGAACGTGAAGCAAAGGCAAGATGATAATAATCGTTATAACAGATGTTTAGGAAGCACATACTACCATTTAATTCTCCGATTAACTCTGCAAAGCAGACAGTAGGTACCTTTCTACAGAGATAGAAAGGGAGCTTGGAGAGTTTCTTACTCAAGATTAATATGGCAAATGGTGATGTATTTCAAAATCAAATCTACCTGACCACAAAACCCATGCTTTTTCAGTGACCACAATTCAGACAAATGCCCTGGCTCAGATGCATGGCACAAAAAGACTAGACAAATTTGTTAAATCCTCATTGATGTTTTTTTTTTTTTAATACATTTTGATGTATTTAAAAAAGTTTAAGCTATGAGAGAAAAGAACAATAATTAGATTATCAAGAGATGCCAGAAGACAATGGAATAATATCTTTTAAGTGTTGAAAACACAGAACTGTCAGCCATTATTCAAGAGTGAGGGCAAAGTAAAGACATTCAGTTCCACAAAGACTAAGAGAATTTGCTACCCATTAGAACTTCATTTAAAAAACAAAAGATTAAAGGATGCATTCAGCAAGAAGAAAAGCCACAGCTAACGTCTGGAATACACGAAACAACAATGTACTGGTTACTTTTGCTGTGTAACAAATTATTCCAAAGCTGAGAGGCTTAAAACAGTCATTTTATTATGTTTATGGGTTCTGGGAGTCAGGAATCTGGACAGGGCACAGAAGGGATGGCTTGTCTCTGCTCTGTGAGGTCTGGGACCTCGGATGGGAAGACCAAAAAGGCTGGTCGTGAATCAACAGCTGGAGACTAGAATCACCTGGAGGCTTCTTCACTCCCATGTCTGGTGCCTGGACTGGGATGACTTGACAACTAGGATGACAGGGCAAAGGTGGCTTCAAGTCGCCCTTCCATGGGGCTTAGTTTCCTCATGGCGTGGTGGCCTCTGACCAGCTAAACTTTTCACATGGTGAGAGCTCAGGGCTCCACATGTGAGTATTCTGAGACGGAAGCCACAGAGCCTTTGATGATGCCATCTCAGAAAGTAAACAGTCACTGCCTCCACACTTTGTGGGCCAAAGCAGTCGCAAGTCTATCAAGACTGAGGGAGGTGTGTAGACCCCCAATTCTCCAGGGAAGAAATGTCAAAGAACTTGAGGGCCCTGTTTTAAGATGAGAGAAATTTAAAAACATGTCAATACATTCAATTAATTATTCGACTTAAAAACTACATTTTGTGTCTTTAAAAAAGGTAAAACTAAATTCTAGGAAACAAAACCACATGGGGTGGTAGGAAGAGAATCTGCAAGGAATAGTTACAGCATGCTAAGGTCTTGGAACACTAAATAGACTTGACAAAAATTAGAGCTTGGATTTCATAAATGTATAGGATATATGTTAATAAAGGAAGGGATCACCATGAAGAAATAGAATCATAATTTACTGGGGAAAAATGGAAAGATATGAGAAGTTAAGATGTGGCAAGAATTGAGAAGATAAAAGAAGCATAGAATAATGATAGTAAACTAAAAACACAAACTTGGAAGCTAGTAAAAAGGTCAAATAATAATCACAGTAATGAGAAAGTCTCTTCCTTTAACAAATATCTGGCATAAATATTTTTACAGGCACCTTCACATAAAATTTAAGACACATAAAATCCTTAGTTTATGAAACCGAATATAAAACCATGAAAATCAATGTTTCAGAGAATAAAAACAAAAGGAAAGTTATATAACTCATTTTATGAAGCTAATATCTCAGTTTCAAAATCTCTGAAGAATAGTAAAGGAAAAGAAAATTGTGGCTCAACCACACATAAATACAGATTGAAAAA